TATTGGCAAACGAACGAACTTGTTGCTGATATAAATCGACGATGGCGGCAACGTAGCTCATGAAAGTGGAAGCTTTGATTTTCTTGAGCTGGGTCGATCCTTTGCCCTTGCGACGAGCATCACGGTTCATGACCTGTTAATTGAGATTGTATAAGCTAAGAAGCAGTACAGCAAAACTATGATTTTGAAGTCGCACATTTGATAATTATTGTACATACCTCTTCTTTGAGAAACAAATGGAGCTTGTCGCCATAAACAATATAACGAGTTTCTGCAGGCAAATGTGGCATCATTCTATCGCACCATTGACGGTATTCCGTTTGCTTGTTGACATAGGTTTTCTTCGTGTTGGCTGGGCGTGCTTCGAGTGCTTCACGGTGCGTTTCATTCATAGATTCACGCATAGCCATTTGCGAGGCCTGATACGTAGAGGAGCTGGCAGTGGTGTTGAGAGACATAATTGACAAAGATGTATTAGAAAAAAGTGTAGAGCTTGAAAAGTTGGAAATGTATTGCAACTAAATAAAGGCTACATTTTTGAGAATAGTAAATGGTCTTTTATTTATATCATTTGTGATAGCAAAGAAAACACTGATGCTCATCTAATTGAGAATGAGTCAATGTACGTGTTATTGCATTGTTACTGCTACGCTCGTTGAGTCTAAGGATGTGTGTCATGTCAAAGGCATATGCAAGATGTGTCATAAATGATTCATAGCGGTGACCTAGCGGGTACTCAAATTTTTTCTACAATGCGATTATTGTGTGTAAGGTCACAATTTGGCTGGTGACTCAGTTTTGTGACCCAAGCCAATCCCCGAAGATAACTCCTTATTATATATATATTTTGAGCACTACTCAATATAATAAATAAAAATTCAATTTTTAAAAAAAAGTAAAATTAATAAAAAATATTATTTCAGCTAAAAAGGATTACTTCGACTATAAGAAATATATAAAAAATATATAATATTATAAAACAAAATAGTTATAAAGGCTTACTAGTTAGACCCCTAGGTAATGACAAGAATCGAATGGATCTTGCAAGATTTGAGAACTTTTCAAGGTAATTAGTTGTATAATTGCTAGGGGTCGCAATCTGACCCACGGGTCAAAACCGACCCACGGGTTGAGGACAGGTCAATGGGTTGGGTTGATGCTTTTCTGACCCGCAGGTCGACCCGTCCAACCCTTGACCCGACCCGTTGACCCGTCGTGACCCGTGTATACACATAATATGTATGAAGTACTTATATTTAAGTAGTCAATCTTCTTGTTGGGAAACATTATTAGTTGTCAATATGTCTGCTATAGAACTATAGCATAAAACGTACTTAATTCTTTTTATTGTGGGATTATACTTTATATTCAATAGTATGGGATAAGTAAGCTATAAGCAATATATATGATAGGAGTAAAGAAGTAGCAATCGGGATCCGCATGGTTTGGTTCGGTTCGGTTCTTAAAGGGAACCGAACCGAACCATCCAAAACAAGAACCGAACCGACTAGAACCGATGAGAACCGTAGAAACGAAGAATCGAACTGAAGAACCGAACCCGTCATGTATATAAAAAAGGCAAAATCCAGTATCTTTGAATGAAAGCTGATGTATGTGTGTTCAAATATCGCGGTATGCTTGAATACTGCAGTAAAAAAGAATAGTTTATTATTATACATTGAACAGCGATTTCAAAATGAATAAGAGAAACAGAATGTAAACATTTAATATACAATGTGGGTCATTGCATGGTTAAAAGAATAAAGCACATTTTTACAAAAAAAAGTGGAGCTTATAGTACTAGAGCGACGTAGTATTACTAGTATAATACGTTATTGTAACATTGGAGGAACCAAACCATAACCGGCAGTACACACAGCTACTGTGTCTCTACGCGTGTATAGTGTCTCATAAAAGGCAAAGTGTCAATGGGTAAGATAATTCTGTTATGGGCCCCAGGATGCGCAATCTCAGACAGAATGCACAAACTTGATAAAACTGATCGAGAAGCCAAGATAAATCTAGTAAAGTAGTACGTCATGGAGAAAATGCATTGTGGGTAGCACAGTAGAGGAACAAGTAATGATGCGCGTTATGGGCAGAGAAAGCAAGCTGCCGTCAAAAGAAGTGTTTCTTTTTTGTTCTTCTCTTCTTTACTATTTTTCCCTCCCTTCTGCTTTTGCAGGTTTTGTTAAGTTTTTGAATAAAGTATGGCTTGCAAATACACTACTTCTTGGTCTTTAATAAGGAGTAACATTGTTCGTAACTTCCATTATATCCTACTTTATACTAATTACCAAAATCGCCAAATGCAATCTTCTGCCTCTCGGTTCTTCGGTTCTACGCATACAAAACCGGTTCGGTTCCGGTTCGGTTCTTGGTAGGAACCGAACCATATTTTCTCGGTTTCGGTTTGGTTCGGTTCCGGTTCTACGGTTCTGATATGGATCCCTAAGTAGCAATAGTGCAATAAGAATATACAATAGAGGGTGGCAGTAAGAGACGCGATTTAACAAAAGACAGAAAAGGAATTGAGAAAAGAAAATCGAAGGAAGAAGAAAGAAGTGAAAAGAAAAATGAAAAGAGAAAAGGATAAGGGGCATATAGGGAAGTCGATTTTCAACCACACTTTAAATATTATGCTTTCTTTAAAGCATGTGAGCCCAAGCGATTTCTTTTGTGATGGCACAGAACCCTTTACCTTTAAGAATAATCACTCAAAACGTAGATGTTGCTAGTAGAGGTCGCAATCTGACCCGCGGGTCAAAACCGACCCGCGGGTTGAGGACGGGTCAACGGGTCGGGTTGATGCTTTTCTGACCCGCGGGTCAACCCGTCTAACCCTTGACCCGACCCGTTGACTCGTTGTGACCCGTGTATACATATGATATCTATGAGGTACTTGTAATCAAGTAGTCAATCTTCTTGTTGGAAAGGATCATTATATTAGAGATGTAGTTGTCAATATGTCTGCTATAGAACTGTAACATAAAACGTACTTATATTCTTTTTCATTGTGGGATCATATTTTATATTCAAAAGTGTAAGATAAGTAAGCTATAAGCAATATATGTAATAGGAGTAAAGAAGTAGCAAAGTAAAGAAGTAGCAAAGTAAAGAAGTAGCAATAGTACAATGAGAATAGACAATAGAGAGTGGCAGTGAGAGACGAGATTTGACAAAAGACGTAGAAGAAATTAAGAAAAGAGAAATGAAGAAGAAGGAAGAAATGAAAAGAAAAGGGAAAAGGATTAGGGGCATTTAAAGGAAGTCGATTTTTAACCACACTTTAACCATTATGCTTTCTTTAATGCATGTGAGCGCAAACGATTTCTTTTGTTATGGCACAAACCCTTTACCTTTAAGAATAATCACACAAAACGTAGATATTGCTAGCACTGCTAGGAATTTGCGTGCCATCATCTTAGAGAGCTGTGTATACATGTAGTTTTGCACTTCCAGTGCTCAAGCTCAGGTTGATTGACACCTCCTTTGTCACCAAATCAAAATCAGTAGTGACCCGTCAACCCGAGTTTTGACCCGTCGGGTTGAACGGGTCGGGTCGGGTCAGTGTTTTCTTGACCCGTGGGTCAACGGGTCAGACCCTTGACCCGACCCGACCCGTCCAATTGCGACCCCTAGTTGCTAGCACTGCTAGGAATTTGTGTGCCATCATCTTAGAGAGCTATATATATATGGAGTTTTGCACTTCCAGCGCTCAAGTTCAGGCTGATTGACACTTCCTTCATCACTACATTGAAATCAGTCTTGACCCGTCAACCCGAGTTTTGACCCGTCGGGTTGAACGGGTCAGGTTGGGTCAGTGTTTTCTTGACCCACGGGTCAACGGGTCAGACCCTTGACCCGACCCGACCTGTCCAATTGCGACCCCTACTTGGAGGTTACAAGAATTATGGGTTCTCAAAAACTAATGACAAGCAACGTAAAGAAGGAGATAATAGGAGAGTAGCTATATATCCATAATAAATAGATAAACTGGATACCAATAAAGAAGTGTAATTTGGTTTGCTTGATCACGGTCGCTGCAGTACTGTTGTTTACACTTGGTGAAGTTGGGTATATTGATTGATATCCTAAAAATTAGAATTAGATGATTTTTCAGTTTCATTAAGTACCATTAGGTATGGTTTCTGAGGCAATTATACAACCAATTACCTTGAAAAGTTCTCAAATCTTGCAAGATCCATTCGATTCTTGTCATTACCTAGATTCAATAACAAATACCTCCTCACAAAAAAGCTCTCTTTTCATTACTTTCTTTTTTTTATATAAAACATCACCACCCTTATTGTATATAGTCTCCCCACCCCCATTTTTTTTGTAAAGTTTCTCCTCTCCCTTGTTTTATATATTTGATTTTACCTATGTATGTTGCATCTACCATCGGTCCATGAAACTAGAGAAGAAAATGAAAAACGCTCACACTGTGTAGAGACCAAACGGACAATTGATGAAGGCAAGGCGTGCACAATGATCACTTGGACATTTCCATGATAATAACGACAGTAGCGATCCTAGCTTAAAAAAAATAAAAATGAAAAATAGAAAACGCTCACACTGTGTAGAGACCAAACGTACAATTATTGAAGGTGAGGCATACTACGTAGTGGCCAAACAGACAATAAATTAAGGCAAGGCGTGCACAATGATCACTTGGACATTTCTATGATAATAATGACAGTAGCGGTCTTAGCTTAAAAAAAATAAAAGAACAAAAAAAACCCTCTCATTGTGTAGAGACCAAACGGACATTTGATGAAGGCAAGGCATGCACAATGATCACTTGTTTGTGTCTATGGGGGAACGGCTATTTGCACCACCCCTCTATTGACTTGAGATCCAAATGAGCAGACATCACACTATTGCCAATCTATCTATAATATAATAGACAATGTTAAGTCACGCACATCACGAGGGGGTGTGCAAATAGACCTGCCCCAAAAAGCCTGTTTCTAAGAAACTAACCCTTACTCTTCACCATGGAAACCAACGACACCAATACAGATTGTAAAGAATCTTTGACTTAAAAAATAGCTGTTTGGTGACTACGAACTAACTACTTTTCTGGTTATCATAGCGCTTTTACAATATTTTGACTCTGTGGAATACCCAACACTCGAACATTTTGTAACAACTGAAGTACCTAAGCATATTTACCCAAAAGACTTTGATATTAAGCAGTATTAGAGCAGGAAGTACAAGTCGGTTGCCGCAAGTTTAGATAAAAAACCCGTTAGTATAACTCTTTTTTCTTTCTCTCAACATCACTCGATTATTATTGTTATGAGTATATTTCTTCATGTTGCTTACTGAGCATTATTTCTTTCACCATTTTAAGGTTTTGGGTAACCCCGATTGGTACTAAGCTATACTCAACTGCATCAACCATTCTGCTGTCATCAATAGTCCTACATCCGTTGAGGTTTTTGATTCACAGGTACGTCCATATAGATCTTTGTTATTATTGTTGCTTTTTGTGTTTTTGATGCATTCCATTTTAAACCATTTGGTTATTTTTACAAACTTTTTTTTTCAACACTATTTTTTTGTGTATATACAATTATACGTTCATAACATAGACACCAACTTCTGAATCACAAAAACTATCTACAACATCAAGTACAAGCAGCAGCAACAATTCAGGACGTCATTTGTTATCAGTAATCGAAGCCGATAACGTTGATTCAGTTTATGAAGGTTTAATCGATAAAAAAATGTGGACGTTATCATGTACTGGTAGAAGAGTTGAAAAAGTGATGCAACAATGTGCAAATGAGAACAAGTTGGAACAGTACGTACATATTTTATTTTCATTTGTCATTAGCGATTTTCTTTTGTTGTTGATATACAACATTTATTTATTTTATAGCATTTTTAGAGGTACACACTCCATGATAATGGACCCTTTGGATCCAATTTGGTCCACTTATTTCACTGAAGAAGAAAGAGAAGAAATCATTAATCTCAACCCACCAAAATTGCCACCCTTGTCATCCAAGATGGAAAAATATTTGCAACAGTTTGATAATTTGGTAATATAACAAAACAAAACAAAACATACACTAAAAAAATGTTAAATGATATGAATAATTTAAATAGACCACATTGGATGACCTTTGGAACAAAGTGAACGAACAAGTATTCAACCCAAAACAAGATCCAGAAGTTTATTGGTTGAAAACCTCAATTATAAATGCATTGGAACTATATCATTATAGTTTTTTAAAAAGAGATGTAAAATCCGAGTCAGACATGCTCCATCGTGTGTGGCAGATAATCTATTTATGCTTCGACAATAATTCAAGAATAACGATTACTAGGTACATATTGAATCTTCTTTTAATTATTATACCATCATTGTTAACAAGATAATTATATAATCTGATTTACTTGGTACAGTGGTAAAAAAACCAGCTATGCATCAGCATTACGAAAAAAATCAACCATCAATAGAATTCAAAAAAAAACAACTAAACAGATCGAATTGAAGCACCTAGGGCGTCCTACTATTAGTTGTCTAACCAATTATAATCTACTAGCTGTAATATAGATAATAAAATTGCTATGATCAGTATAACCATCAGTGGCCGAATTAATTATTGATTTACAATAAAAAGAATTTTTTATTTTTATTGGTAGCCTCCTACAAGAAAAAAAAGAGCGATTGTTTAAAGCACATAACAACAAATAAAAATGAACACAACACAACACACTAAACAACTCGATATTGAAATTAAAAATTTATTTGATAATAAATGGACTTTTCTTGATAAATCTTAGCCTGAAATGCAACATAGATTTAATCATAGAGAGAACAGCTATTAAAGATATGAAGAATAATACAATAAATGATATAAAGGATGTATTACTTAATAGATTTGGATTTATACCTGTATTTTATTTTCTTACAGTTTTATATGGAAATATTGAATATCCAGGGCCATACCGCGAGATTGAAAAAGGACTTGCATTATTATATCATATGGTATCAGGTGTATCAGGAAAGGATATACATACTGTTATGCCGTATGCAACATTTTATGATTTATATAAGCGGTTCTGGATTACTAACTATAATGAATTGAATAAAAAGGTAAAACAAGATCTAGATAGTATGTTCTCATCACCACGTATTCGCATTCTATCAGCAATAATAAACAATCCAGATGGTTTTAAGAATGTTACACTATTTATTGATGGACATGATAGTAAAATAAAGTTTTATAAACCAAATGAGTCACATTCACAATTATATTCATATAAATTAAAAGGGCCAGCTGTACGTACACAAGTTATATAGGATATGAATGAAATAATTACACATGTTTCAGTATCTGAAAAATGTGCTATTGGAAATGATGGTACTATGTTTATTAATATGAAACTATATAAAAAAATAAGTGAGGCTGATTGTTTAGGAATGGATGGTGGATATAATTTATTTATACAAAAGTTTAAAGATAATGCGACAGATGCTGGATATAGTTTTTATGATCGTAATTTTTTACATCCCATAAGAAAAGAACCAGGACAAAAGTTAACAATCAATGAGACATACTTTAATAACAAGTTTGGATCATTTCGTTCAGCAATAGAAGCACAGTTTTCTATGTTAGGCTCTAAATTTGAACGATTTAATAATAATCGTGCAGCATTGCAAATATCTGATATAAGATATTATAATATTCAGTTTCATGTTGCTTGTATTCTTACTAATATATGGCGATTTGTAAATACTGTAAGTATAATATAGAGGTACAACCACGTCATAAATTATGGTATGGAAAAGATTTTGAATTCCCAAGTAAGAAAAACAAACTTGACTTGGTATTTTCAAATGAGCAAAAAGTAAATACTGAATATAACGAAATGGTTGACATGCAGCAGAAATTTCTACAGCTTAACATTAATCAATCAATAGATATGGCTATAGATAGTGAGGACGAAACTGAAAATAATACATCTAAACGCAAGAGAAAAAATCAAAGAGAACAGAGAAATATAGAATATAGTAATTCATATGAAATTGAGAAGATTGTAGGACATATGTATACTAATAATAAGTACATATCTGAGGTTAAGTGGGTTGGATATAGTGTAAAGGATAATAGTTGGTTAACAGTTGATAAGTTTAATTCCTGGGAAATGCTACATGAATATATGGCCACACATGGTATTCAGCTCTAAATTAATTTCTTACTTATTTGCTTATTAAAAAATCTCATATTGAAACTGACTGTATCAACCTTTCGTTTACTTGCCCAATTATATTTATGTTTTATGCATTCATTAGTTATACTTGTACTTATATTAGTATCTGTTGATTTATTTTTGACGTCAGTTTCTTTTGTTATATCTATATCATCTATTATAGCCTGTTTTATATCCTTATGCTTTTTAAAATATTCTTTTGGCTGTATTTCTTCTACTATTTGCTTGTTTCTCCGTTTATTTTTATTGTGTCTTTTTTTCTTTTTACGTTTTGGTATATTATTTGGTATGCTGCAGTCACTGCTTTTCTCTGATTCAGATGTACTTACATCTATGTATATATGTTTCTCTATATCTTCTGGTGGGTTTTCCTAATCAGTAGTATCATTTACAACATCATCACATTTTATATCATTAAACACATCTTCCCAATGCCTACAATCTGCTGATGGTGGTACCTTTACAGTTGACCATCCTCTATTATTTTGTTGAGGCGGTTTATGTTGTTTATTGTTCTGTGTATTATTTCTATTGTGTTTTTCTTCTTGTTCCTTCATATATTCTTCTGTATCAGCTAATTCTTGTAGTTCCTCTACTGTTTTATCCATCAGTATATATTTTCTAATATCATCCTGACCACTATTATGTGCATAACGGATAAATGTATGCTGATCTTGGTATTCGTTTTCGAATTCATCTTTGTATAAGTCCTCATACATATCCATGTTTTCATAATATATGAATTTATTTTCATAATCCTTCACCTTCATTGTGTATGGATCCCATATTATATGACCTTTACGGCTCTTATCAACATAGATAATATATAAACGATTGAGCGCTGGCTCTAACTCATATACTGATTTATTTTTGTATAACATGTGCGCCATATAGTTACTATTCAGTATTATTAGTATATTTTTCTTTTTAGTTATTGACTTTGTGAATTTGCCATTAAGTTTTAACCGTGTTCCTTAAAACATTTGGTTTAAAAATGTTAACTTGAAATCAGAACCTGTTTCTTCATTATACATAAACTCATAATCATCATCCTTATAATCTGGCCAATCATTTTCTTTATTCATTAGATATGCTCGATGGCCACCTTGTTCTAATACATCAATGTTATATGTCTTACCTACATTTGATGGACCTACAATCCAGTATTGTGGTATCTTATTTTTACCACCAAACATTGTTTCAATACCAAACATAGACCACATATGTAATTTATTTCCAGGGTTATTTTCCATATCTGCATCATGAAAGTAAGAATTTAAATTTGATTTTACAGTATCATATTTCCATAGCAATTCTGGATATATTTCGGTAGCCTTCCGCATATTAAGCTGCTTAGTAATTAATTGATATCTAAGTAACTGTTGGTGCATTTTTCTGGTTTTAATTTCATAATTTGGATCCATATTATAACAAATATAATCTTTTCCTTTCATACAATAGCTAATAGACTTTTGTGGATTACCACCTGGTTTAATATTTGGAGTAACACCATCAATAGTAAAGAATTTTACGTGCTGTTTTTGTGTCGAACTGCTCAGCCATTTGTATCTATATGTGTACATGTTTCTCATTGGTTTCTGGTGCAATTTCATCACATGCAATTGCCTTTTCAATTCGATAACCAATACGTTCATGTTTTATAAACCATTCCATGATTTGTTCTTTTGTTAAATAGAAGTCCTTACAAATATATGTGAACAGCCCTTTAGTGTTTTGGAATCGGAATTCTTTGCCGCCCTGCGAGGAATCTGCACCAGAGGTGTTACCCTCTAACATTGCATCGGAAAATTGAGGATTTGAGGATTTGATGAATCTCACATATGCTCGAATTCTTCTAATGATTTTATTGCGTGCATTATCTTTAGTTTTTTTTATCTACTTTAGCCTGTGTAAGGTCTTTTTCGAGTTCTGACCTCAGTTGTGTGATAAGAGGTTCATACTCAATATGCTGATGGTTTTCAGCAAGGTGTTTTGCTCTTTCAATTGAGAGCGTCAATGTAATTCCTAAAATAGGAACAAATTCAGCTATAATGGCTAAGAATGCGAGAAGGTTGAGTTGGTTCATGTCTATTGTTGAAGTAATAAAAATAAAAAATATAACAAATATATTTTGCTTTATATTCTGTGGTATTATTTTTATATTTAAAAAAAAAATTCAATTTTTATTTTTTCTAAAAATTTAAATGTATGCATGCCAAGACATTCGTGCATGAATTATTTCAATAAAAATTAATTTGGCTATCCTGATATATCTTAGCTAATAAGTCATCTAGTATTACTAGATCGCATTAAAATCATCATAACCATGGCCGGTCCCCTAGGCGATTTCTTGGGACACGAACTGATCTTTTATTCTATACACCGCAAACAATGAATGAATATGAGACTACCGAAATTGGCTTGGATTTAAGAATAGACAGTAACAAGGCGATTAATGAACTCGAGTTGAAGTGCCCTAAAACTATGAAGGACATGTTATTACGAGTGATGCGAATATATCCCGGCATTCAACATGATCTTATGATATGCGGATTCAACATATCTGGTATGCTGTTTTTAATGGTCATGATGTATTGGTTTTTAAAACATTGTCTAAAAATATGTTTTCCTTATATTCAGGCCTCTATATGAATCAACTGGTGGTAGACAATCCAAAAGGATACGTATATCGTTTATCGAGATTCCCAGAAGAACTGCAGTATCTGGAAAAACCTTGCAATTTTATCAAGTTAATCAAACCGATATTTGAAACGATTCATGGAACCAAGATGCAAATGGAAAACACTCTTAAAAGCATCGATACTAAAAAAGCAAATGATGGAGTTCTCAAGTATGGATTTAAGAAACCTGCAAAAATTCTTTCCATTCCCCCCTGTTTTACTCCAATACCTACTCCAAAAAAAAGAAAACCCACCGCATCCAACTCTTCATCCTCTTCCAAAAAAAAAGCCACTGCATCCAACTCATCATCCTCTTCCCAAAAGTAATCGATTATATCCATACAAATATTCCTTTCTCTACATTGTATTGCGTTAACTCTGTAATGCATATTTTTCATTTTGTATATCTTATATCTTATTCCTTTGATTCATTAACATTTGTTTTTTATCGAATAACTTTTGTATATCGGGTTGCTCTTATCATTTAAGAAAGTTTCGTTGGCACGTTTATTCACATTTTTTTCTTGTCAAAATAAACACCCTATACTTTGTTAGCTTACAAATACTACTACAATTTTGGTTTCATGCCAATTAAAAAAGCCCATACTTATATACTAATAGAAGTTAAAAATCAGTGTTTTGTAATAACAATCAATTGATTTCAAGTTACTGTTACTTACAGTCCAAGCCAAAAAAAGAAAACAAATTAACTTTGTATGACAACCAACACCATTGCGTCGCCTAGCAATTCGGCGACACAGCACCAACAACTGTCGCCTGTGCAACAGTGGCAGAATTTCCACTCCTATGAAACGAATGATTTGTGGCAAACCCATCACCGCTTTGGAAGACACCACTGCAAAAGCACCCGTATCGACGCAACGTGCTAATCGCCAGTGGATTCGCTCCAATGGACCGAACAGCGCTTTCTTCGACTTCTGTGATATGGGCTCGCACCCTCAAAAATTTATGGCGATATGAAAAAGCAATACCCCACTGCTGTTAGACACACTCCACCGCCTAAAAGCTTCAATGGCGCTATCGTTTCGTTCGACGACTTGGAGTCCTGTACGACAGTATGTACGACAGGTCTCACTGTTAGATCTCGTACTGTCAAGGGTACTATCACTCTCCAAGCCGAGAATGATGTGTACGAGTTAATTTAGAGCAACTCCTGCTTCTCTCGCCTGCTAAATTAAAAACCCTTGCTAGAAACCACTATGAGCCAATTCGGCAAAGTAGTACACATCGGCCTTTTTGTCGACCCAGTGTCAACCATAGTTGTGTGTGCGTATGCAATTATTACCAGGCCATTAGCATTGGTGCGAAGGACATCAATGGCTCGCAATAAGGTTCCTTGCACATAATGCAAAGAAGCTTAGCTGAGAAGCTTTTTCGGAGAAACAATTTTGCATCAATTGTTATAACACGCGACAAAAAATGAGAAAGACGGGCACAGCTTGCTTTTTTTTACGTAGAAAATGCAGGCCACAAACTCTGATGAATTAGCACAGCATCAAACCAGTGATGTTGGCGACTCCAAAAATGTTGCTGGTGACCAAAATGCCTCAGACGTTGAAGAGGACGAGGTCGAAGCTGTTCAAGACGACAATGTCGAAGAAGGTAGAGTTAATCTATAGAATTCGGTAGAGTATAAAGCCTCAATTACAGATGATCTGTTGAATACTGACGACAACTACAACGACGAACAAAATTTTCATGCTTTTCAAAAGGCCTCTTGGACGATTACCCTGACGATACCGAGGTTCGTTACTCATAGTTCACCGAAAAACAATACTAAAACGAGGTTTTGCTAAGTCCTGCTATATATATATTTCTTTAGGAAATCGATGCTATCCATAATCGTATTTCAGTTATTCCAAGACTAGGTCTTGAACGGTTTATGAATTTGGAGGTTGGTAATGCTAAAGAAAGATATAAATAATCCGCTTATACTAAAAACATCCAACAAACTACGTATCTTGATATCTAGCGTATTTGTCTACGTCAAAACTTGATTATAGATATTGAAGGATTCGAACCTTTGCGCACAACTTTGAAAGAACTGGATCTTTACGATAACAAGATTTCACACATTCGTGGTCTTTCACAACTCACGGAACTAAAGTGAATATCCCAATCCATTTTGATTACAGGCAGTGCAAGGATTTTGTGGTGGTGGAGAGGTTTTATAGATTGTTGACTAATCAACATCAAACTCTTTTTTTTGGCAGATTTCTGGATCTTTCTTTCAACAAGATCAAGCATATCAAAAACCTTGATACGCTTACCAATCTCGAGGATATCTATTTCGTCAGCAACCGTATCTCAAAAATCGAGAATCTAGATACCCTTGTTCAAGTGACTAATCTGGAATTGGGTGCCAACAAGATCCGAGTAAGTAGCACTAGTAGTGATGCAAATAATAGCTTCGCATTTTGCTAAACAAATTATAAAAATCTGTATAGGTTATTGAGAATCTTGACAAGCTTGTACAACTACGACAGTTGTGGTTGGGAAAGAACAAGATTACTCGATTGGAGGTAAAATATACACGTTTTCATTGGCGGGATCATTAGCTAAAGAGCTCTCTGACAATCGGCAAATTGACATAGAATTTGAGTCCTCTTGCCAATCTGCGGATTTTAAGTATCCAAAGCAACCGACTTACTAAGCTTGAAGGTCTGGAGGAACTTCACAACCTGGAAGAGATTTACCTTTCACACAATGCTATCGAAAAGATTGAGGGTCTAGAAAAGAACGTAAGGCACACCCTATCCTTTTTCTTCTGTAGAGGATGTGTCTTCAAAACAGGGATAGAGAAGAAGCTAATATCTTGAGCATCATTTATTCATAGCTTAAACTCACGACAATTGATATCGCAAACAACCGCATCAAACATATCGAAAACATGTCCCATCTTGCAAACTTGGAGGAGTTCTGGGTAAGATAACACTGGAAGATAATATTAGGAGTGTCTGTGAGTGGATTGTTTATACTAATGATCAACGATCCTGCTAGGCAAATAATAATCTACTCGAGGCACCATGCTTTGCCGAGTTGACGAAAGAGCTTGGCGGTCTAAAAGAACTAAACACCGTTTACCTTGAAGGAAACCCCATGCAAACCGATAGCCGAGCGACGTATCGTAACAAGGTGAATTTAGCGTTACCTCAAGTTAAACAAATTGATGCCACGTGAGTCTTTTTATTTCCTGTTAAACTGAGCAGATAGCGAAACTTTAGATTAACGTAACAATCTTCTGTTCCTACTTAGATTCATCCGATAAGTCCTTCATTCCTCCCTTTCTTTTTTGCACACTACATGCACATCCTCTCTGCCTGTTCTATAAATCCCATATCACCACGCACTCGTGCTTTTCTTTCTGTCTAGTGCTTTTTTCATTTTTGTACATTATAAAAACCACTTTCGATACGAGGATACAAGTCATGCAATGTCACTATAGAGTCAGGTCGTGTGGATCCAATTTGTGCTGCAAATGAGGGCTCCTCGTAGGACAGCTTTCCTATTCATGAAGTACATATATCAAAAAAAAAGAAGAAGCGATTATGATCGCGCCATAAGATCTCTATCTCTTTTACACTGCGTACCTCGTTCCAATAACAGAGCGTTCCATCCTGCACTACGCGCGCCTAATGTATGAGTGTTAGAAAATCATAAACTATGCGGGGGAAGATACTGGTATAATACCTCGATAATCAGTATTGATGTCATCGCCAACATGTAATGCTTCGTCGGGCGCTACGGCTGGCTTGACCAGTCTAAGTGCTTGATCATAGATTTCCTTGGACGGCTTTTCGAAACCTGCACGATAACTCGGCAACACGAAATCCAAATGGTCCGTCAACTTGAGACTTTTCAGGACATCGGCTATAAAACAAATGCAGCAGCGATGACATGTACGATAAAAACCCAGTTATACTAGTCACTTTAACTCGTGTGAAGATGAGTTTGGCATAGCTCGCTACTTACTCAATCGTTCATCAGAATTGCTAATCACACCGGTGTATATCTTGTGTCTTTTAAGCATTCTTAAGCAGTCGATTGTATCAGGAAATGCAGTGTATCCTTGATCCGAAGTAAACCGCATGTATAGGGAGTCGAACAACTTATCAAACTTGGGATCCAGAACTAGAAAAACACATTTTTCATGGATAAGTGTCTATCTCTCTCAGGGTAGCTTATTACAAAGTACCTGTCCTTGGCACGCCTGAAAACACGAATGTATCATACACCAACTAGAAAGCATCGGGATATGCGATGACATCAGCTTATTATATATATGCCGTGTAACATGATCGCTGGTGCTTGATGAGAATATTACAGTTCCCTGCCTCTCCTCACAATATGACAATGGCCTGCTCATTTTACCTCTTCCCACCAACGTCTAGGGTTCATTCCTTGTTTAAAACCGTAAAATGGATGCTTTTCCATTTGCTTTTTGAAGACAGGGCCGAATGCCTTTGTCAAATTCTCACGACATACGGGGATGCCTACGTTGGACGCTTCCAGCACCTGCATATGAGTATGATACGCATACGATAACGGATTAAATTGAATGACTATAAAGCAATTCAAGAGTTGAAAGAAGAAGAAAAGATGATGTTACGTATTGAGCTGTTGTACTGCCTCTAGGCTTGAATAATGTTTGATACGCGTCAAACGATACTAGTTTTATCGCTTTTTTTGGAGCTGCTGCCATTTGTTGAGGGACACACAAAAAGTAGAAAAAGGGGTGCGTGAAGTAAATTTCCCGAGTCACTCTCTTTTCCTCGTGCATTAACAAGAAATCCCCGCATGATTTGATCGAAGCACGTCTGATCGCGAACGTTCTGCGTGACACACACTGTGCAAGCACTATGGTAATTGGAGTAACGACCTTTTTTAATAGTATTTTGTCAAGAGAGGAAAAGAGAGAGAGAGAGAGAGAGAGAGAGATAGACAGATAAAACAAGAAAAGAGGAATAATTTACGAGAGGGGTTAGATATATCCTGGGGATTTCGTTTCTTTTGTTTGTGTGTGGTGCGTATTTTTAATCTTTGCTACGTGAGAATAGCAGAGAAGCGAGGAACGTTGTAATGCGAAAGAGAAGAGGAAGAGAGAGAGAAAGAAGGACTATTTTGGTAGAAGACGAGAAAGAATTATATTTACAAAAGACAAAATGAATAACAAAAGGAAGAATGGAAAAGAATAGAAAAAAGACAGAACAAAGGTATATCCACTACTACTTCTTTTTGTTTGCATTGGCTGCTTTTTTGCTCGTCGTAGGCGTCGTCGCTAATGCTTCCTGTATGGTTTTCATCCAAGCATGAGATTACCACTGATCCACATCCTGTCGCACACAGCAACAACAACCAGCACACACTTACGATTTGCATAGCTTGAAAATCGGATTGTAAATCATGGTCCTTGAGTCTGAACACGAGCGCCGGGCGTATATACGGATAGGAGGAATATCTACAAGTTAAGGATGATGACGCTAACAATGAACTGTTATGCAGAGTAGCCCGACTAGTGCGGGTTGGTTTTGTAGTTGTAAAAAGGATATCAGACAGCTGCTTCCGCTTAATGGATTTGCTATCAACTTGTTCTAAACCGCGTTTCCGCAATGTTCGCTTGAGCATTCTTGCTTGCGACTCCATCGCCATGTCTACAACAGAGGGTTATTACCAAAAGTCAACAGCAGCAAACCGCCCCAGATCTATTCGATAGTAGCTATGTCGGGCTTACCGTATGCAAGTTCACAGTTGTCCTTTTCTTCTTTAAGCTTGCGCCGTTTTTCTTCGAGGGTCGCAAACAGCTTTTCGCGCATTTCTTGCTTTTCAGCCTAAACATATACCCGCTTGTGTCAGCATGCTGTCCTCTCTAACCCCCTCCTTCCCGCCCTTTTCAACATAGACAATAGAAAAGATACGTTACCATGTACTCTTCCTCAGCATGGCTTATTTCTTGCTTGAATTGAGTGTCGGTTACTTGCTCTTGGTATTGTTGAAACAAGCGGCCTTCCTTGATCGTCGTTGTCCGTACCCTTTCTAACTCAGCAACACCTTCGACGTACGATGTATGCGTATCTAGGATTAATTGTGGTTGTTGTTACGTCAACACTCTTTTAGCTACTATGGTATCCCCACATTATCAAGCAAATCCCGTGGGGTAAACAAGCTTACGATTATGGACTTGCTTGATTTCTTTTTGAATCGCATTTGATTTGTCCGCATAAATTCTATACCCGGAAGAATGAAAAAAAAAAAGCATGAGAAAAAAAATCTGCGCAACCGACTCTATGCTGCTGCACATCATCATCCTTTACACACCTCCTCTGCTTCTTCCCACACCATCTTTCTTCCCCAACACCTCCACCCACACCTAGCCCTCTAACCATTCATACAGTAGTGCACATTCAAAATATCAAATAAACTTACCGATCCTTATTGTCCATGAAATCCAGATTAATCTTGTCTAGGCGTGTGCTGTATTCTTTTCGCTTCTTCTGTTTCCTGCTGTCCGTCGCACCTTCAGTATGTCCTATAAAGAAGAAGAAAAAGTGAGTTTTCATACTTTTTCAGAAACAGAGAAAAGCATTCTTTTTGCTTACCTTCATACCACGCCTCAGACTCGTCTGCTTCGCTGAGATATAGACCGTTATTATTACCATTATTATTATTATTATTCGCGGTTGCTGTCGTTGCCGTCGTTATAGTATGAGTAGTCGTGTTTGCAGCAGCAGCAGCAGCAGCATTGGAACCAGCGGCATTAGTAGTAGAATAGCGGTGTTGTTCATCAATGACAGTCGTAGTATTAATTGGCTGCTGCTGCAGTGACGACGACGACGACGAAGAAGACGAAGACGGTTGTTGCTGTAACGCTTGAGGTCGCGGAGGCAAGGAATGCGGTGGTAGAGGTGGTTGCTGCTGTTGAATGTGATGGTGGACATGGTACGGTTGTGAAGTAGCATGGTGGTGTAGGTGAGGCAGTGGTGGTGGAGGTGGCCGTCTTGGAGAATATACACCTCCAGCTAAACCATTGTTTGACCGGTGGTAGTCATGGTGGTCATGACGCTCATACAATTGTTGTTGCTGTTGGTGGTGTTGATGGTACATGTAGTGATCGTCATCCTGAGGAGCAGCAATGGCAGGGTGGTGGTGGTGTACTGGTGCTGCTGCTGCTGCTGCTGCTGTTGTTGTCGCTGCTGCTGTATGGTGGTGGTGGTGATGGTGGTGGTGAGAATGTGTTGTGGTATGGTTATGACTATGGCTGTGGTTATGGTGGTGATGCTGGTGTTGGTGCTGGTGAGTTGTTGAGTGTTGGTGCTGGTGCTGGTGTGGATGGTAGTATGGAGAAGGTGACGGTGACGGTGACGAAGACGACGATGCTACTGTGTTTGTTGCTGCTGTTGCTGTTGTTGTCGCCGCTGTAGCCTGTGTTGCAGACGGTGGAGGACGATGCTGTTGCTCTGTACTGGAAGGAGGGAGAGGAGGAGGCTGTGTTGTTGCAGGCGAATGGGCAAATGGCTGCTTTTGTTGCAATGAGGTTCGCTGTAAAGCAGGGGCAACGGTAGGTGACGAAGAGTCGCCATTGGCGGTGGCTGGCTTGGAAGTGGGTGGTGCGGCAGTAGAAGCAAGATCGGCCGCTGTTGCTGGTCGTCCTGTCGTAGTCGTAGCAAACATGAAAGGCTTGTCCGCTTCTAGCATGGAGGCAATGGGCATAGCTCTACAACAAACGTTTTCACAAACCGAAGCGGAGCGGGAGGCTAGTTAATGGCGAGCCTAGAGCTTCAAGCCCGCCCTTTCCTCATAAGCCACCAAGAATAAATGCAACCTGATTGCAGAGTAGCAGTTTATGCAGAGTAGTCTCATTCTTCTCGGATTATATAGTGGCCATTGCACCGTTTTAACTTGCTTTTTTGCTCTTCTCTCTTTTTATTGGCTCGAAGAATTGGAATTGTCTTGCTCAACACCTCACTGAAGACCATTACCCTCAAGATTAAGATCTGTACATGTGGTCATATACTGCATCAGGAACGCTAAACGTCGTTAGATAAATACTTGTTAGACGGGCTTAAGGCGATGGAAAAGCCTGGCTGATACACTTTGCTTACCTTCGTGCTTATTATAACTAGTCTTCACTTTTTTTTGTACATAAAAGTTGATAATAGCCAACGAGAAAGGGACATATTAGCTTTTTACGATGATGAAGTATCACGGTCGCACGTCTGTAGTCATGAGATTATTTAACGTTATTTTCCCTTGCACTGTGTAGTACTCACTGTGTATGCTGATAATTGTAGAATATCTAGAAAAACTGCAGCTTCAAAAAGGAAGACTACGCACGAATCCATCATTGAAGTATGAACCCAAGTACAATCCAACTTGATTATGGTGCTACAAATCAGCCAGATATACAAAGTAGATCACAGATCTATGTATACCAGCTGGTAAGCGGTAACTTTAAAAAACATCAACAGCCACATATATAAGGCTGGGCGTCATGATGTCAAGGAAGCGAATAACGTCGTAGCAAATCTGTGTCGGTCCGAGCTACAAAAATCTACACGCTATTTAATCAACGGCTTGAAAATTGATCTTGCTCATGTTGCTATTTTGTGAGTTTATCCTAAGCTTTGGTTTATGTGTGCTTGATGCTCTGATGTCTATATTTTCCAAACTCCCGCAAGGTCCGCACGGAAGGATGATGCATATCGAGATAGGGAGGATTATTGGTTTGTGATTTCTGAGGAGAAAAACATATTATAATCGCGTAACAATACCTGTACATCCTTCAGATGATGACAAGGAACTGCAAAGTTAACCTGGGGCCTTACAAAAATATGTAGTAGCTACATCTCTTTTGTGTGTGGCAATGGATTGTCCCCTGCTATTAATACACATACTATGACATATTGATTCAAGATTGTAGTTTATAGCAATATACGGCGGCACAGCTCTTCTGCTAAATGACCCATGTTATTGATTTGATGTCTACTTTATACTGTGTTCATCCACAAGCAAAGCCAAGTGTAACATACGTCGACTGCTGGACTGATTTGCTCCTCATCGTACACATGTTTTATTTAAACTATGGCGATAAGGGACTCTACGAGATAGCCATGGTGTCCTGGTTTCTTGCTTTGTGCTTTAAATTCGAAAGGAATGCTTGTGGCGCTTCAAAAGTAGATGAGAAGCAAGGAGACGCGATGGTGGGGATGAAATTTATGTTTTCTTATGCACACTGCTCCCATAACAGCTGATCCAGACTTGAAAATGTGGAACATTTGACAGTTTGGCTGCAAAGATATACTGTAACAATGAGCAGAAGCTCATCAGGTCGTGCTAGCTTTGTTTGTAGTTTGAATGGGTGATGACGATTGTAGCCTCCACACGATGCTTTGAGGAAGAAACTGTGGTAGTGATCAATCACATAAGAGAGCCTCTTTTTCATTGCATCATATGCACTTACAGCATTTTTTCTCTTTTTTCCTTTGGATCTTCCTGACTCGATAGCCAAGAGCTGGTACGCTGCAATCTTCATCTCCTCTATTAGTCAAGAATGTGCTGTGTTCTTAAATAAAGAAGGGACATCTAAATTGAAGGTGTTTCCTTGTAGACTGGTCCCAACTTTCAAGATCTAGCGTAGGTCCTTTGCGGTTATGTACGCGCCGCGGCGGTCCGCAGGTATATAACCACGACACTCTTCTTTATCGTCATTTCTAACGCTGTCGAGCAAGAAGAATAGACACTGGCTAACATCCATCCCTCTTTTTACATATGGGCAGCGTCACCGCAAACGTCCATGCGTTGAATATATTATATATTTTTTTCATCGCTTCTTTAGATTCTTTCCTCGGGCAAAATGTGGTATACAGAGCAGTTCATTTTTATCAAATAGCACAGTACAAATAGCTTATCCACTAATATCCTCAAACCCTTTTAATCTTCATCAGACTAACAGAAAGAAGACGTTGTACACCTTGGTGATAAGTCATAGTTATACCTCAAATAATTTCTCAGGGTGTGAGTTTTTTTAGCGTGCGTATCATAATGTAGCAAACCCAACACATATTGTTGTAAGCTATGAAAATGATGAGAAAAGTAGACGCGTATGTGTTGTTAACGGAAATTTCTTATACTTGTCTGGGTAAAGGGGATGGTGGAATAAGGGAGAAAGGTCTATTTTTCGCTCAAGATGACATGGCAAAGTATTTCTGCGTGGCAGATAATGCATAGTAGCGCACTTCTTGATCTTCATGCGTCATCAGTTCCATCACACGCTGCTTTGCGCCCAGATCATGGAGGTACTTTTTACCATCGGCGCCTGCGTATTTGGCATACTGGCCCACGTCATGGCAGGCGATGGCAAGGATCTCGGTCTTGTTCGAGCTCAACAGACGAGCGAGCATTCTACAAAGATGAGCGTTAATGGTGTTGCTGTCAAAAAGAGGTTCGGGGCAGCGTGTGTGTGTGTGAAAGTGAATTCGTTTTTTTACTTTAGTAATTGGTGATCATTTTCGTTTAACCGAACGGCATTTTTTTGCCAGAAATTTTCGGATTGATGCGGTGGCGACCATTCCAGCTTCCCAGTTTCCAGTTCCGAGGCATACACTTCAAACGTCCTAAAAGCATCCTCCCCACCCACACACATTAGCCTTCCACTTCACCTCATAAGACACACACACCCATCCCGGTCAGTAATACTTTACGTGAGACTTTGAAAGTTGTTTTGCAACTCGGTCTGGATCAAGTCAATGTCATTGACAACTTCTTGATCCGACCATTTTCTTGTGTGCAAGTGCTCAGTAAACGGCAACAGTTTGGCTACCAGCATGGCAGACAAGTTGGCCTTGGGTGCTTTCTCCACAAGGTTCTGTGTTATCAACCCCACTCGCATCAATTAATAAGCTCATATTAGATTTCCTTTTTCCCTTCAAGATTGTACCTTGAACGTGGCCACGACCACACGAATGATCTTTTCCTTGACAGCCGACTTTGCTATTTCGACCAGCATAGGGATCACATCGTATTTTCTATACAGCGTCATACATGGTCAAGTCACCTGATGTTATTACAGCAACAGAAAATTCACTGCCCTTTGATTTATTAGGCTAGTTTCTTACCTGTTCAAGTTTGCGGCAATTTCTTCGTCAAATGTCAATAGCCATAAAGCAAAAACAGCTTCATACGTCACTTGTGGATTTGAATTGCCTTTCTTCAATACATTGATAAACCTATTTACATGAAGAAAAGAGTAAGAGATAAGTTTCATTCTTCGCCAGCCTCCTCAATCGAGTTTCTATACATCTCTTATTTCTAATGCCACTTTTAAAAACTTACGAATCCATGGCGTGGAGTGTATTCCAGAAAGATTTTCGGTAGGCGGGTATATGGAACAAGGCATCAAGAATTTGGATATTCAGCTCGATAAGACTGGGATTACGACTTTGCAGCTGGAACGTCATCCACCGGAAAAAGTCATCAATGTCGATGTCTCGGTTCTTGGTCGAGCTATGTAACATGATATGTAGTCCAAAGGTGGATACAGAAGAAGTTTTAGTACATAGCTGAAATGTATGTATATGAGTGATATGTTTCTTTTTTACCAGACAAGAAGCGCCAAAATTTTGCTGGATTGGATACCAACGAATTCATCATTGATTCGCAAGGCCCTATGTTGTGGATTGAATCAAACAAAACCACGTCAGACCAAGTGCACATTGTCTATTCAGCTTCGATGGGAGACAATGCTAGAAAAGTCACTTTGTAAGGCTGCTCCACCCCTGGCATGGTTTCTTTCTCTATATCCTCAGTCCCCTTTGGTTTTTAAAGTTTCTTTCTCCTTACTTGTGAAACGGCGCAAAAGGATAGCCAGGGCGGCCTTCTGACGCTTGATGAAACAACTTAATCCTTTCATCGTGTTCTATTATTTAAATACATTGATAGTTGTAAAAGTAAATAAAGCGCTCGTATAAGCATATAGTAGGTATTACTAACAAAGTAGGAAAATACTGTATACCATCAATCATGTCTTGGATCATGACCAAGACTTTTTGAACTGCATCCACGCGAGCCAATTTATGCATCAGATCCAGGTACATGCCTGCGTAATAGAGTCCGTGCTTATGATTACAATATACTCATGTAAGTCTTACTTTTGATACAAGACCTTTTACGTATAAAACATACCTCGGACATGACGTGTGTGACTTCCTCTGGTGACTTATTATCGACATGCTCAATCATTGCCACTTCGTCTGCTGTTATTAAGCCAGCACGTTCATATCCCTGTTTTGAAGTAATAGTTACCATGTCAACAATCACCCTCTGGGTCAAGTACACGTACTGCATTGCTAATTTAAAAGTCATTCACTCTCTTTTTACCTGCCAAGGAATGGGTTCGTTACGAATCTTGTCAGCCAATTCGTCAAGGTATGGATGGGCAATGATTGTCAGTGTGACATCCTCGATGAGGCTGCTTGTCGCGGTATCGGTTGCGGGAGTTGCCGTGTCAGTGGTAATGACATTGTTATTGTTGGAATCAGGTACAGTTGTGTCGACGAGGGGTGCTTCTGCAGAGAGCATTGTTGCTGTTCGTTTTAAAAAGCTTTTGAGAAGAAACGATAGAAATCGAGAAGGGAAGAAAAAACAAGGAGAGGGTCTGGTGTATCAGGAAACGCGCCATCGGCTTAATATGTACCGCATGCAGTGAGAAAGAGGGATCCTGAAACGCCCCAGGTGAGCGTGAAAATGCAGTTTTGTCCGGACAGCACATACATCGTTGTTATAAGATATATTACCACACTAATAAGCTGTAGTTGCCATAGGGTTTCCGGGGCTACTGCATTTGTATCCTAATACGTGATGATTCTAAATTCGCTAGCTTTTCTACTTGGCGATCATTACAAAGAGGTTGTCCTATATCCAGTGTGATCGTGTGTAACAACGAGACAAAGGGACACCATTCCGACAATATGCACGCATAAAATTAGCTAATAGCATACCTATTGCGCTTCGCTATTATTATCACCCGCTGGGTCCACATCCGCTGGGTTTACTGGCTCTATAGAAAATGCAGAACTAAGGATAAAGTACTGTACGTAGCTGCCCATAACTTTTATGTCACTTGTAACCGGTATAACGTATCTTCAGTTTTTTGAGGGAAATGCTCGAATGTATAATAATTGCGATAAAAAGGCTCGGGGAATGAACGACGTATTTGTTCTGTTGGTCGTCTTCCCGGTTTGGATAGAAAGCTACTAAGCAATATAAGAGCTATGCTCTTTAGTTTCTTATTACAATGATTAATCGTTACGGATACATCCTTTTTCATATAATCTGCTCGGTGTTCTGATACTTCTTCTGCCAATAAAGCGGTCTGTAAAGTTAGTAAAATTAGCACAAAGCAAACGAATGTCATCAGAAGAATAAAGGAATACTACTTGTGGTAGTAATAATAGTAAGACGTTTTCCTTTTATTATACTTAAGTATGCCATGTAGACTCAAGACCAATTAAGTACAGAGATTCCGCAGGAGGACAAGTCGACTACCTGCCTTACTCAGCGATAAAAGTGAAACTCTTGGAGAGAAGCAAGCCGACATTGGAAGATCGTTCCGTCGACGGAACATGATGAAGGAAGCAGGGGTCCCTGAGCTGTATCAAGAGCTTCAGGCTGCAAGAGTCTCAATCCTCCATGTCGAATCAGGGCTTGCGCAAGTCTACAGGCAATTTTTCAAACGCAAGGTTGCAATTGTACGTCGTAAATGCGTTGTATCTGCAAGGACTGGCCAAGAAAAATACCTTTGATGAAAAGATTGAGGTGTGGTCAACTTGACATGTCCTATGCGATGCACATGGCATCTACGAATATATTTTTTCAAGTCAACTATCCCAAAAGACTATCCTCGAATCTCTACAGAGCAATACTCCATTGGGTGTTGGTGGTGTCGATCCAGGCCATATTGTCGCTGCTACAACTGTATTGACGACTCACACTTACATCTTTGATGCGAGTCAGCAATACACAGATGGATTAATTGCACCGCTCCACCACCTCCTTCATCACCTCCACCGTCACCAGCACAATTGCCACCGTCATCATCATCATTAGCAGCAGCAACAGCAGCAACGCAAGAGCAAGACAGCGAACAAACATACAACAGCACCTCCTTACTTAAACCACAAACACACACTTGGTATGCTAATTTAAGCGCCCTGCAATATTTGCAACAAAACTCCTAAAACGACGCGAGATATTTCAAAGAAAAGCCATCGACGATGCCGATAGACAGTGCAAGGAAGATCGCACACGTAAACTGCCTTATATAGTATATCACAGTAAATTGGTTCGGCATGGCGCCTACCTGGAATCAAATCCACATTATATTTCTTTGCTTCGTGGCGGATCGGATCAAAGAAGCACCAACAAAAGGCATGCAAAAATTTAAAGCAACGCGCCGAGAAAACAGCCAACTGTGCAATATTGGCCAGTTTCGGTCCAGCGAGACGTGCCCGCACTGCCACAAGCCATGCAACGTCCTCATACAGCACCCCTATTCTCCCCACGCTCTTCTCCCTCTTTTCAGCCATTCAAGGCGTATGATAACACCAGTCCTGATGCTCAGCTATATCCGCGTATAGCTGGATAAAAAGAGTAAACGTCTGTCTCTTTTTGTGTTAAATGCGACCCTTTGTTATCACTATATATCGCGAGCATTGAGAAACAACGACCACCCTAACTATTGCCACGGTGGACTTCTTTTATCAAGTTTTTCTGGTATCTTGTAGAAAACGCTGAGAGTTTCAAAGTCGCTTTTTTGGCCCTTTTGACAGCTTGAAAGCTTAACACATGTGTTATATTACTCGATTTAAACATCCTTTAAAAAAGTTTATATATATAGTAAGCGCAAGCTTTACTGTGTTTCCATGTGAAGTCCGGTTTACTATGGATTGTTTTAATTACAAGGTGCCAGCCAAGAACAAGAAAAACAAGTGGGTACATGTGAGAAGGTAAAGGAATTAACGGTAGTATGTTGTACTATAATAGGAGGTATCAAGTGACAAATGAATACATGTCATCTATGCAGTGGTTCTTTTTGTCGATTACGGGAAATCTCTCCGCAGAGTAACTAAGAAATATTAAATAAAGAGATAAGTATCTCGTCTAGCAATAAAAAGTGACCAAGGTTCTATTTAAATGTACCTGAGCTAAATTCCGCAAAAGGATCCTGATAATCAAGGGTTTTTTCATCATCATCATCTGTTGCCGGTGGTGATGGTGGTTGTTGCTGCTCCTGTTGTAACTGCTGTTGCCGTGCAAGATCGAAACTGACGCTTTCCTTCATATGTTTAAAGTGAACGGCATCAATAGCATTTGATTTGGCAGGAATGATGGGTGGTTTCATGTTGCGTAGTAAGGCAAAATTGATCGATTTGAAGAATGCGTGGGATTTGACTTCGCTTGCACCTGCACGAGCACCTAGCCGCTTGGTCTCATCCTTGTGTAATAATTTACGTATGATTGTTTTGCATTGGCTGGATACGCCAGGTCCGGTATAGTATGGATTGCTACTGAAATCTGGGAATTCGAGAACTTTGTGTAAGATCAAATCGAATGTATCGTTTCGCGTGCATCCCTTGAATGGTGTGAAGCCAAACTGTATAAGAATAGAATAAGTTAGAATATAATGGCCATGTGTGGAGCAATTACTGTTCGTTGCTAACTTACCAGCATTTCATACAAAAAGATGCCCAATGCCCACCAATCCACACTGCTCGAATGGCCGTTCCCCTCAATCACTTCTGGGGCCAGATACTCTAATTGGATCAATAAGATAATCAGTATACTCTTCTTCACCCCTAATTATCCCCTCCTCCTTTTTATTATCGTACCTTCTGTACCAACGAATGAATTGGTTCGCAAATTTGCACAAGATTTTGTATCCAACATTGGTCGTTGCTAACCAGAAAATATAACGCATGAATATTACATATCATATAAAACGTATATAGTGTAACTTAATATAATTACCCAGAACGGAAGGGATGATTGAATGATGGAAGGTCGCCCTGCTGCCGGTGACTGTACAGACAGATCGAAATCAGATAACATTAAATGTCCTGATTCGTGTAATAGAATGTCTAAATAATATAACATGCATAAATTTTACTTTTTCTTACATGTTATGCATTTGATGACTTACTTTCTGGTTTCAGATCACGGAAAACAATTCCCATTAAATGAAGGTATTCCAACGCCGCCACGACTTCAGCGGCGTAGAACTTTGCATCATTCTCCACCAGCACCCTTCCAGGTCGTCGTTGTAATGCTATCCACACAACATTGGAGAAATTAGTATAGTTTTTGTTTCAAGCTTGGCAGCAACCAGCACATCAACAGACTATATGCTTTACCTCGAAAGAACTCGCCGCCGACACAGAACTCCATACAGAAATACAGGTAGTGATTGCTCTGAAAAGAATGGTACAACGGAACAATAAATGGATGGTTGGCAGTGGCAAGAATGGCTTGTTCTGCATATGCACGTTTGATCTTATTTCGCTTGACCATCTCCTTTTTGGATAGTACTAAAAAAAGAACATCATATATATATATATAAGCTATTGTGCACCTCCGACAATGATCGTACAAAAGTAGAAAAGGATAGAATAACTGGCTCATAAGAAAAGATCTCGATCCTTTCCGCCGGGAATCATACAGCCCTGGTGTAAGCTGAGGCAAAACCAGAGATATAAGTTGCTAACGCATCTCCATAACAACCACATAGCCACGGTAAACCATAGCGACCAGAATTAGATATGTATGAATTCATTACCTTTAAGCGCAAAAAGTTTGCCATTCTCGATATGTTTGACGAGATAAACCTTGCCTACATCGCCTTTACCGAGAAGCTTGATCTTTGTGAAACTGGCAGGAGATACTTGGGCAGTAATGATATTGCTACTGCTGCTGCTGCTACTGCTACTCGAACGACCACTCGTTGTCGAGGTCAGGCTGGAACAGGAACGTACAGGGTTCGCTACTGCTGCTAGTGTTCCTGCTGTTCCTGTCTTTGTTGTTGGTAGAGGAGTTGAATGCGTGGTTTTGAGGGTATCGGTCGAAGCGGCTTTACGCAATTGGGGAGTTGGCGATGAAAGGAGCATTTGGGCAGAGCAAGATGTATTGAGCAGTGAGCGATTGCTGAGAGGGACTTTTGACGGAGACAAGTGACGATGACGATGACGATGACTCCGCTGCTGATAGCTAGGAGCTGGTGTTAAGGGGAGTGAAGAAGGAGTGGTCATGTTTCTGATTCAGTAAAAAAAAAAATACAGAAATAACAATGGAAAGAAAAGAGAAAGATAGAACGGTGTGTACTTGGTAACTATATTACTGTTTTAGTCGCTTGGTTATTTGGTTATGCCAAAAGGGTAGTGTAAAGGGCTCTGTCCTTGGATCCATTGTTTCACAAAGGAACAAAGTAACAGTGTGTAGTACATGGGAAATATATTATGATGGCTGCAACTGATTTCTGTTGCAGTAGTATTATTCTCTGGTCGGGGCCGACCTTTGGGCAAATAAGAAATCAGGGATCGACCAGGCCAGCCCAAGGATTTGATAGCGCATACCCCGACTAGATGGATCCTTATTCGTCGTTATCGTCAAAAGAAAGTTTTACAGTGGCGGCGGCTTTCTTGGCCTTCTTTTTCTTTGATTTCTTGTCGCTTGACTCTTTCTTCTCTGTGCCTTTTTCTGTACTGGCACCTGCATCATCACCCTTATCACCATCAGCAGGGGCTTTGCGCTTCTTCTTTTTAGCACGAAATAAGATTCGTCCGCTTTCATCTACGGCAGGCCGATCGTCGTCTTTGCCGTCGTCGTCCTCTTCCTCGCCCTTCTTTTCGTCGTCATCATCGTCATTCTGTGCGGATTGATGGATCTCTGTGTTTTTTTTATATATTGGGTGTAGAGAAATGAGTATGGTGCATCATATTTTTGAAGAAAGAGTCGATTACGTCTTAATGACGATATTTAAATTTAATAAAAACGCGTATTATTGTTATTGTACTACATGTTACAATAACTCTACACGCGCACAAACAGCAATACCTTTCCCATGCTTGTCTAGCGTCACCACTTGCGCGCCGTCAAGTTCATTATAGTCGTCGTCATCTTGTCCATCGTCATAATTTTCAAATTTTCGCATCTTTTGCTCTTCCTCTTCCCGATTCCGTTTCAATCGGGACAGGAAAGGTGCTTCCTTGTGTACATATGACAGTCCACTCGAAACTTGGTGAGGTGTTAACTGCTTGGGAGGCATATATAGGGGTGATTATACTTGGCAAGTAATAAAGGCAAATGCGCTTGTCACGCTGGCCTCCCCCACTCCACGCACACACACACACACAAATTTTAACAGCCAATCAAATCTGTGGGATCGCTGAATACCCTGAATATTTTATTTTCCATTGACATGTTTCGACCAATGGCGGTTGAATTATGCTACGGGGAGACAAGAAGCACTTTTTTGCCACCAAAGGTCCTCAATGAAGAAGAAGAAGAATATGCCATGGGTGACAATGATAGTACCATTAAACATCGACAACAAAGAAAATAGAAAGGCCATTATGTTTATATTTGCACGTTAATCATATAACAAAAGGGTTTCTTCTTCCTCTCCAATTCATTCCTTTTCTACCTTCTTTGTCAAAGCTCACTTCTTGGATAGAAGCGATCCTCACAATTTACGCCGCACATTGATCATTACACGCGTCTCCTGGAAACCAACAACAACAACAACAACAACAACAACAACAGCGGCAACGACGTACACCTTACCAACCTAGCATACAGCAGCTATTGCCAACTTTATGAACACGTAAATTGATCAGCGAGAACCTCAAAGAGAGGAGCAATTGCATGTTGCTTCTTTCGATAATATAAAAAGAGAACATCCTTGAGTTGTCATTTCTTCTCTAACTCTTCCTTTACAAAACTATTTTACTTCTTCTTTACATATACCCTTTTTTTCATTTAATTTAATAGCCCAGATTTACGTAATCCTTCACCACCAAGCAATATGGACATTAGTAACAGTGACCCAGATCTCACTGTTGATCCAAGGGCAGCCGCATTCTCCATTATGTTTGTGAGCGTGGGTTTTTCCTGCTTTATATGGCAATCACTACGATCTGGATGGATGTTTTACAAGATTCGCAAGCCGATCCATGGCATTGTATTTGCACAAGCCGTGCTAGGTGTCATCCTGACCTTTTGCACATTATTGACATCGCTTGTGTATGTCGACTGCCACTTTGTAAGTACACACATGCATTATACACATCTGTTTTTTTTGCGTAGTATGTCACAATCAACTCTGTACTCATCACTAAAACAACACAGATATTGATTTTTTCGATCGTTGGTGTGAATCTGGGCGACATTGCATTACAATCCGTGCTTCTTTGGAAAGCGTATCTGGGGAACAACCGATCTAAGATTATCCTGATGATTGGATGCATACCACTTATTGGCCTTGTTGTGTTTATTATCTGCAATGTCACAGTTGCGCAATCCATAATGAAATATCGAGGAAACGTCTGTACAACTAGTTACCGTGAGTATGAGATTGTTTTAAGGGCTCGAAACTTATTAGATAAGCCCGGGTTGTTTAATTACTAAACAGCCAGATCATGGGATGTTATTGGCTACTGATACACTGACCTTGAAAATTATTCTCCTTGATAACCGAAAAAAAAAAATATAGCAATCTACATTGTCATTGCCAAAGCGGCGCTAGATTTTACATCCAATACGTTTCTTTCATGGTGCTTTATACTTGTTATTTACCGTCATTATCAAGTCCTTGGTTCGAGTATCCAAAAGACCTTGATTAAAGAAGGCTTAATCTACTGGTAGGCACTCTACACTGTTCGATATTGGAAAAGAAAGAAGGTCGTAGTGATGTAGTGTGTGTGTGAGTGTGGCTCATGTGAATTAATCTATTGTTCCGGTATTCCCCACTTGCTGTGTCTCTATCCCTTCAACCCATTGGTACACAAATCACAAAAAAAAAGTTTTGGTGTTTGTCTTTCGAATATAGTCACGGGAATATTGCTGACCGTTAGAGTTCTCGGCGGAAGCTCTCCGATATTGTACACGATTGATTGTAAGTCCTTTTGTTTGTGTTATTTTCATAATGGATCAAATCGGTAAAGCAAATTAAAATTAGAAACTCAGATTCGCACAATTTCCTTTTTTGACTAAGGGTATCTGGCTTCCTATCTGATTATCAAGCAACTCAAATACGGCCGTAATGGCTTGAATGAAGAAGATGGCGAGGACAATGACGACGACGACGACGACGACGATAGCCGTATGGAAGATGATGATGGTGACACGCACAGCCGTGGTCAGATCAGTCGTCATCGTCACACGATGTCATGCTCCACGGCTGCGGAAGACCTGAATCAGCTCCATTCGCGGCCGCTTTCGTTCCTGCTGAAGAATGAAATTGATGTAGAACATCATCAGGCGCATCCAGACGGGAAGAAAGAAAGTGACAGAAATCAAGGATAAGCAGATGATGCTGTGTGACAAAGAAGGGGTGTTTGGGATTTGCTGGAAAAGTTATATAAAAAAAGAAAGTTGAAGTTTGAAGGGACGAAAAGTAAAAGAAGCCAGAGAGACAGAGAGAGAGAGAGAAAGTAAGATGAAAAAGAGAGATGGAGAGATCTCATCATCGCGCTCTTTTTTTATGCGCCCTCATAAGACCTCAATAACAGCATCATTCTAGCCCACTTTGGGTTGTTTATTGCCTACGATCTTCTTCTTCCATGCACATGTCTGCTCGTGTGTCTACTTACACAGTGCATTATTATACATGCTTGCACGTAAATGATAGTAAAGATGATGACGCTGTTATGTAATGGTAAACAATGTATGTGTGTTGGTGGCCAAAAAAGAAAACACAAACAAAAGCAGTCTTATCAGATTGCACATGTCACGCAGAAATAAAAGGTTGTCAAGTGGATATATTGGGGATTACACAGCCTAAGCAATTGTAAAGGCGAGAGTGTGAGCGTGTGGGTTGTACGAATGCGTGGCCCTTTCCGGGGGACCTCGGACAGTATTTGCCGCAAGTTGCCATAGAGGATGGGTGGGGGGGGGGTTGAAGGGGAGCAAACAGCAGCCCCACCCCTCGCTTATCAGATGGATTGTGATTGGCTCCGCGGTAATCTGATTGATCGTGGTCTGTAGGAAAAATTTTATAAATCTAATACAGATTTCCGTGCCGTCGCCTTTTCTCTTTCTCTCCACTTCTTGCAGCAGCAAAGGAACCCCTCTCTCTTTACCAGTCCAACTTCTTTTACATTACCTACACTTGTCGCGTGTGCGCTCTCTCTCTCTTTCTCTTTCTCTTTCTCTCTCTACCTCTCCAATTCTACAGACGAAGAAGAAAAAAACAAAGAGCGACCAATCAGTATCTCTATACTCTTGCTACTACCACTACCACTACCAATACATACACACACACACCCCCACTCACTTAAACTCTGTACAATGGCTGAAGAATACGACTACGAATCTCTTGGAAACAACACTTCGATGGGCCAGAATGCCCTTGCTGGTGCCTTAGCCGGTGTCGCTGAGCATTGTGCCATGTATCCTGTCGACTCTATCAAGGTAAGAATCCTAATTTGATATGCATGTGTGTGTGTGTAGATTGGAGCAGAAAGGGGATGGGTGGGACGACCGACCGACCGACTGTCTGTTGACTGTTGACTGTTGACTGACCTCGGTGGCATGAATTACCATTCTTGTTAGACGCGAATGCAAGTCATTCAGAGTGGACGACCACCTGTTCCTGTCAATCCGACGACAGTCGCTCAGCATCCATCACTTAAAACTGCGTCGAGGAATCTTTGGCGCGGTGTCAACTCGGTCGTATTGGGCGCCGGCCCCGCCCATGCCTTACATTTTGCAACCTACGAATACTGCAAAGAAGCATTTGTTGGCGACGGCCACCACGCACTTGGATTTGCTGCTGCCGGTGCATGTGCGACCTTGGCACACGACGGTCTTATGAATCCCTTTGATGGTAAGAGGCAACACGGGAATGAAGAGGAGCACAGCGGATGATTTTCCCAAGCACATACAGTTTGTACTAAGCCTGTACCCACTCTCTCTCTCGCTCCGTTCCAATTATTCCAGTGGTGAAGCAACGGATGCAACTCCGCGATTCCACATACAGATCTGTCCGAGAGTGCGCACGACAGGTCTATGCCAAGGAAGGCCTCGGTGCATTCTACATCTCGCTGCCAACAACCCTCGCCATGTCCGTCCCCTTCCAATCCATCCAGTTCGCAAGCTATGAATTCTTCCGCAAATATCTAAACCCGGACGGCCAGTACGACCCCAAAACCCACGTTATTGCCGGCGGTCTCGCAGGCGCGATTGCTTCCTCCATCACCACTCCTCTCGACGTCGCTAAAACGCTTTTGCAGACCCGTGGTCACAGTCTTGACCCTCGCATTCGCAATGCCACCGGTTTCTGGGATGCCATGAGCATCATCAAACAGCGTTATGGTATGCGGGGTTTCTTCAGAGGCTACAAGCCCCGTGTGCTGACCAACATGCCCAGTGCCGCCATCAGCTGGAGCGTCTACGAATACTTCAAATGGTTTTTGGATACCCACGAGTCGGCTAAGAAAGTCTCGCAAGACAAGAGTCTCATTCGTCTCTAAAAAAAAAGAAACCGTTTCCATATCCTATCCCGTCATCACCAAACCGTCTCTCTCCACTTTTTCTCAAAACATCACCACTACAACCAACCAACCAACCACCCATCCACTTTTTCTAATATCTCTGTACCATAGTTGTTTTCTTGGATTTTACCCTCTTTTCTCTAGCTTTTGTACATACTTTTTTCTTACTTTTATACAAGCAGTTTTTTATAACATGATGAAAAGGATATACAAAAATACATAATGCTATTATAGACTCTTATTCTGAACCAAACCCAACAGCAGCAAATTGGAGTGAGAAATGTGTAATGTGTGTTTCAAGTAGTGGCAGTAGTACTCATCCCTCAAGCACTTTCAACCTTCTTCTTGTCGCCTTCGTTATCGACAAAGTTAGCATTCGTGTGCATCCACTAACATTAGGAAAGGGTTGTTAGTTCTTGTCGGTCATATGCTGTTGCTTGCGCGTGTTGCTGCAAGCACGTGTATCTGCTGAAAGCTGACTCACCTTGTAGACGCTCGAAAAGTCAAGTTTGCCGTAATCGTTCATTGTTGACAGGTCGCTGTATACTTGAGCCGCTGTGGTCCCCAAGATCGGAGTCGTGCCTGAATCAAATGCGGCCTTCATGGCCAGTCTTAAATCTTTAGCCATCAGCTTATTTGCGAATCCACCAGCATATTCTCGGTTCGCCGGTGCCGTTGGGATCACACCTGGATGGGGGTTGTTTGTGTCCGAGCTCCAGCAACGGCCTGTCGAGCTGTTCATAATCGATGCCATCAAGGCCGGGTCCATGCCGAGACGACCGGCTAGCAACAGGGCTTCCGAGACGCCAATCATGGAAACGGCCAACAGCATGTTGTTGCATAACTTGGCAACTTGTCCCGTGCCATTGCCGCCACAGTGTACTGCGTTGCGGCCCATCAACGCAAGTGTCGGTCTGATTTTTTCAAAACTTGCCTCCGAAGGTGCGCCCACCATGAACGTCAGTGTGCCATTTTCAGCACCCACGACACCTAAACATAGCATTGTTGCCATTCATATAAGAGTCTCACTCTGCTGCCATGACTGGCTGGTTATATCACAACATTGTGGTGAGAGTATACGTACCTCCACTCACAGGAGCATCAAATGGTGTAGCCTTTCTGTCCACGACTTGTTTGGCAAGCGTGCGTGCAGACTCGGCGTCAATGGTGCTGGAGTCGATCAACAAGCTATCTTGATCGATCGCATCGATCAACGAAGAGTAGACGGATTGCACGTGACCAGCCTCTGGAAGCATGGTGATCACGGTAGCCGCCTTGTCAGCCAGCTCGGCGGGACTGTCGGCTGCTTTGGCTTTTGGATATTCGTCAACGAACTTTTCAACGGCGGCTTTGTTCACATCGAACACTAAAAGATCACCCTGGGTCTTGGCTGCAAGGTTCTTTGCCATACCGTGTCCCTACATATGATATAACAGCATTAAGATTCAATATTATTAGGAAAGATATCTATTCCTAGGCGTTTGTGTATGTATGCGTGATTGTTTACTTGGGGGAACGCCACCTCTCTCGTTCACTCGCCCCCCTTTCCAACTTTACCATTTGACCCAAGCCAATAATACCGATTGCTTGTTTTCTGTTGCCAGCCTATTTTTGTTCGTTTGTCCGTTCATTCGCAAAGTACAGGTTAATTCACTTATAAGATGTAACACTCCATACTCGGGCATCCTTACGTTTGCTATTACACAAGAAAAATCAACGTCAATAACGAAAAGACTCGGGTCACTCACTCTCCTTTTTCTTCATATCAACAATACCAACATCACTGTCCCAGCATGAACTACCTGTTGAATACAGACGAGACGACGCCATCTTCGTTCTCGGAACTCGAAGAGCATTTTTTCCGAGAAAGCACAGTTGAACGCGAGCTTGAACCATGATCGTTGTCGTTTCTAATTTGAGGTTAGAAGAACAAAAAAAGGGGAAGCAAAGGTGAAGAATAGATGGAAAAAGAAAAGGATTATGCAGGTTGTTCCCACGCTACCCTTTCAGTGAAAAATCTCATTTTGAGTTTCCGCAAAGCAAATTATACTCACCCCACACATTGCTACACTCCTCCAGCTTATTCTGTCTCAGAGTATTCACACTTGATTATTTGCTCATGCACGACATATATTCATCTATTTCGGTGCACGTACGCAACAACAATAGCATGTACGCACAAGCATCGTTATAACCTTGTTTCCGTTTTAAATTAGAAAGAGCGTAAACTGTGCTGCAGATAATATTCATTTTTGTCTACTATTGGTTTCTTCACTCAAAAAAAAAGATTAAAAAAACACATACTATGCTTCATCTATTTCAAGCTTTTGTTAGTCTGAAAGCCTTCGCTAAAACCTATGGAGAAAATGAAGGACAACGATGATGACTTGTTTAAGTTGAATTTCTGTGAAAATTAAAATACTTTCGCACCGATTGGTTCCCGGTAGCTGACGTCTGGTTATTTAGTCGTGATACATCACATTTTCAGTAAAAGCAAAGAGGGGGAATCGGTCATCCTCACCATCATCTTTTATATTTATTCCTTCTTTGCTTATACTCCAATGTGCTGGCAGAAGAGCTTTTTAGGTCAACTAGTAAATTTTAGATAGGTATAGCAGCATTAACATGAAAAATTAACGGATAACAACGATATCCTCAGTAGTTTGAAAAAAAAAAGATGATTTCCTAGAACTCTCGCTGCTCAGTCTACATTTTATTTCACAAGCCATGCTACTACACGATGAAACAAGTTTTATTCTTGTAATGCCATCCATTGAACAGTTGCTATGATAAAGAAAGGCATAGACCAAGTGAGTATCCAAGACTTACAGCACAGTTCCATGGCAGTAGCGCTACCGTGGTGCACGCATAGAAAACACACGCGAAAAAGTTGGCGGGATTTCAATTTGCTGCGGAGACAACAGTATATGAGTTACGTCGCCCGCCGCAGCGCACATCTCTTCTTCTTCACCAGCTTCTTATTTCTTTTATCGCAATGCTCGAATTATACGCAATTACGCTCGCTATGTACTGTGTTACCCTCGTCATTGGTTGCTTTATGCTCCTCTGGCGGGCCCACCCACTACTTTGTAACTTTGCTGGTTCCGTCGCCCTTGTGGCCTTTGTCTCTCGCGCTGAGTGTTGCACTTCGGTGCGCACGTTGATCCGTTCCTTGTGTACGTTGTTGGGTCTGCTCCCGCCTCCGCCGTCGCGCCCCATCTTGCCGCCATCGCAACCTGCTCCTGCACCTGTGAATGTGTTCCAGCGCAACTATTTTTCTTCGTATGGTAAGCATCGCCCCAATCCTTCGCGGATTTTGGAGGGCATAGATCGTGAAATCGACAACGAGGTCTACAGACGTGCGGCTAGTCGTCTTCCTCCCGATATGTTTGATTCTCGGCCAGCGTTTACTTTGTATCCTGACCCGATGGACATATTGGCTGAGCGTGAATACTTGAAACAGTTGAAGGAGTGGTGTGGTTTCCCAGTTTCGCGCAGAGTTACTGTAGTTGATTACGCAGTGCGACGACTTGTATTCAGACGTTCTTCTTATGAGGTTCGGACGACACCTGTTCAACCGCCTGTGCAAAACTCTCCTACTCGTACTCGCCCTGTGCCGGCTGCTACCGTGGTTGATTCCACAGCAACTGTGCATGTTGATCCCTCACTTTCTTCTGCAGCAGTCGAGGACACGACTACAGTGCCCGTTGCGCACATGGATGTAATGATGGAACAGCCTGCGGCCCCTCTGTACTTGCATTGCTCCCGGGTTCCTGAACAAGTTTCGGTGATCGAAGAGTCTGTGGCCCCTCTGCAATTGCATGGCTCCCGTCTTCTTGATCCCGAAGTCCACGCGATGCCTTCGGAAATGCCTTCAGTGCTGCCTGTGATGGAGGACGCTCCTGCTGCGCCGGCTGTTTTGGGTGATTCCACAGCTGTGCAAACGATGCATTTTTCTGACGTTGAGCATACTCCCGCTTCGGCGTGCGAGTCCCTGCCTTCTGAGCATACTCCCGCTTCGGCGTGCGAGTCCCTGCCTTCTGAGCATACTCCCGCTTCGGCGTGCGAGTCCCTGCCTTCTGAGCATACTGCCGCTTCGGCGTGTCAGTCCCTGCATGAGCAAACGGCCACTTCGGTGCGCGCGTCCCTGCATGAAAACGCGGTCGAGGACACACCCATTGACGAGGATGTCCAGATGGAGGAGCCGTCGTATGACGATGAGCTCGCCAACTTAATGGCTTCCCTGACTTTGGGGATGGACGCTTCCGCGTGGTATGAAGATGATTCTTCTGCCATTCAAAACCCATACGCTTTGCAAACTCACGCTTCGGCATACGAGTCCCTGCACCAAGAGCATACTCCCGCTTCGGCGTGCGAGTCCCTGCCTGAAGAGCAAACCACCACTTCGGTGCGTGCGTCCCTGCCTGAAGAGCAAACCACCACTTCGGTGCGTGCGTCCCTGCCAATTGACAACACGGTTGAGGATACACTGATTCACGAGGATGTGCAAATGGAGGAGTCGTGTGACTCTATGTCGCATGACGCTCAATCCTCCAACCCAATGCCTTCTCTCGCTTCGGTTGTGGACGCTCCCGTGGGGCCAGCTCAGGATGATTCCTTTGCAGTGCCTGTCCCGATGAGACAATACAGATCTGCGCAAGACGCTTCTGCAAGTGTGCCTCTGCCAGATGACGATGATGAACCCGCAGCAGTCGAGGATACAGAGGACACTCCTGCTGTGCAGCCAAATGATGAGGGCATTGCCTCCTTTTGGTTTGAAATCTTACAACGGGCAACGGTGCTCGACGAAGAGGTCTCTGACCTCTTGAGTGCCGCAAATCCCGACATTCCTGCCACGACCATTACTTCCGCCACTATCACCACACAACCTGCCACGGCAACCGCCGTTGGATCCGCCCCTCTGTCTCCGCCCTCCCCCTCCGGTGATGTTGATGTAGATGCCGTCCGTTTTCAGCTTCAAGCCGAAGCGGACGAGAATGATGCGTGGTTCGATGCGTGGTTCGACGAGTCGATCGGTAAGTTTTATTTACATTGATACATCATGAATCCACGCGTTGTATTTACCAATTCTAATGAATGCTTTGATTTTTTAGTCGATTACTAGGTGTTTTGTCGTGTCGTGTTGTCGGTGTTGCGCGTTCTGTTGGTGTTCTTTCTGGGCGCGATTTGGGTTCTGTGGTTGTTTTCTTTTGGTTTTGGTGCTTCGTGGTTTGTCGGTGTTCTCCTCCTCTTCCTCCTGGTCCTCCTCCTCCGTTTGTTCTTACTCCTACTTTTCCGCTCTGCTGCTCTTGCTGTGTGTGCTGCTTTTGCTGCTTTTTTTTTTTTTGGCGTTTTTCGGTGCGCCATATGGTGTATCTACGTGGGCAACGGTTCCGGTACGTGTTTATAGTGTGGCTGTAGGTGTCAGGAGTAATCGTTGGATACTAAATCTTTTTATTAAAATAGGCTGCTATTTGTGCTGCTGTCTTTGTTGTGGGCAGATACTTTCATGTCTGTCTCTGGACGCGAGTCCGTGTAGGACAACAGGTAAATATAGATACCTTGATAACATCAGCTCAAGTTTTCCGTGTGTGCATGTCGTTGATTAAAGGGAATTGTTAATAGGTCATAGCTGTTGCGGCCTTGTGTGCGCTGCACTCTGTGTGTGGCGACCGTCTGGCGGGACGGGTTTGGAAGACACCTCAGTGGATGGTTTCCTCGGGTAAAGGTAAGGGGTGGGTGGGGCATTGGTGGCACTGGCTACAGCCACCGGGGGTGAAGGGGTATGAAGAGCAATGGGGATAGCGAGGACGGCACAGTCGGTGGTGGGGAGGGGAACACCGCTCTGGTTGTTTGGGTATTGCAGGAATACCATCCACATGAGCTGGAACTGACTGAAAAGACAACCCAAGGCGTCGGGCTTGTATGATTACGGGAAGTACTATATTTTTTTTAATACTCAATGAAAGACGAACATCTCAATAAGAAGAGACTTACTAACTGATAATCCTTTTTCCATTCACTCTTCCCTTCTTCATATCGCATTCAACTCGGATGTGGTGTGAAGAAGGCGAAGAAGCATCCATTACTAGGAATTAATTCATTCCTTCTCAAGGTTGTCTTTTCAGTCAGTTCCAGCTCATGTGGATGGTGTTCCTGCAATACCCTTGCAACCAGAGCGGTGTTCCCCTCCTCACCGCCGGCTGTACCGTCCTCGCTATCCCCATTGCTCTTCATATTCTGGATCTCCCACCGGTTGTAGTTCAGTGTGCCATGTAAGTCCCCGTTCATTCCCGTGCCTTTGCTTTGGGGATTCCTGAAGCTGGGGTGTCTTCCGTTGGCGGGTGGTGCCAGTGATGGTTACTACTGTGGGCTTTGGCGGCTTGGAACGTTTTCCCCTGGCAAGGGAATGTTTCCGCTTGGAGGAGTGGAGAATCCCGTCTTTGGCTTGATCCTGGTATTGGAGACGAAACCGGGTGTTTCCTGAAAGCACGCGCTTGATCTTCAAATGATCGAAACCTATCTTTCTCGAGCGGCTTTCAAAAAAGTCAAAGACGTTCATTTCGAGTGGGTCGCTGCTGCTTCTGCTTCTGCTGCTATATCAAATCGGCGAAAAGAGTTTTTAAAAGAATGCTATTATCACGAAGACAAATCATCGAGCCGGGACAACTCATCAAGAATATGGCACCTATCCCAAGTATTTGGCATCCTGCCGGCCATGTCCAAGACGCGCATTCCCTTGGTCTTTACAAGCAGAGCAATTCCATCGAGCGAAATTGGTATATCCGCTTCGCTTTCTATCAATCGAACCAAGGCAACCTATCGTTCATGTCATCAACCAAACCGTCATGATCGGTTATGTCTTTGAACAGAAGAGCAGCGACCAGATGTGCGATAGAAGAACATAGCAATATGGAGGAGACGCATGAAATCTACCAACAATCGGTTCTCATGCGGAGGCTATCGACCTACAATCCGAGGATCACAGTATATTTGA